CTGGAAATTTTCCCCCTTCCTGGAGTAATGAATCGTATCACTGGAAAGGTCTGAATTGAAGAGTGCCCTTTTTTCCTGAAAAAAAAAATAGAATTTATTCCTGAAACAGCATGAAAAGTATGAAAAGTTAGGACTTTTTCCCCATGATGCTAGATTTATTTCACAATGGTGATAATCCTCTTGCTAGCACTCTGTGCTGAAAGGATGCATTTCACTTGCATGTTTTTGTTTGTTCTGCAGCAGTTCAGATGACAGGCTGCGCAAGAGGGGTTTTAGACTTGCAGAAACAGCAGCTCAATTACGGAGCTGCTGCAGTGGTAACGAGGTGAATAAAGAACTCTTGCATGGCACCCTTGTTCCCTGTGCTCATGCACCTCTGTAGCCCTCCTTCCACCCTTCATGTGAGTTTTCGGAACAAAAAGGCTGGCGCTCAGATGCCTGCAGTTTGAAATTGAAACCAAATTTCCAGGCAAACCTTTGTACACACTTAGAGCACTTCGCTGTGTTCCCAAGCTCCTTGCAGCTCTTCCACCTTAACTCTGCGATAGGAGCGTGCAGAAGCACGTTCTCCTGGGTATTTTGGTAATGTTGAAAGGTGGTTCTTTGTTCAAACTGCCTCAAGCTGCATAGTAATTAATGAACAGTTTAAGGTTGCTAACAGGAGGGGAATGAATAAAAAATTAGTAGAGGGGTAGGAAGTAGGTTAAAGTTCAGAGTTGCTCCTTCTGGAAAAGAATTTCAAGACTTGGTTTTTCAGTGTTTGTTTATCTCCAAAAAAGTGTCTCTGTACTCTTAGGCATAATAACTATTACTGCAGGGGAAAAAAGTCTCTACTTTTTAACTAGGACACGCTGTGGTGAAGCTGCTGACACAGCGTTCCAGCATCGCTTGAGTCTGCTCAGTTAGGGTCTAGGGTTTGTTAAGTGTAAGTTTGCCTGTGCTGCAGAGGCAGCGTGAGGATATTACAGATATGTGCAAATGTGTACAAAAGCAGGAGAGATGGATGCAAAAGAGGTCTATCCACTGCCTCTTAAGCAGCAAGTGAACTAGCTAAGTATGTTGGAGGGAGAAGGCAAATAGCATTTGGCTTCCCAGAGGGATGACTTGAGGGCATTTAACATCCATATTTTGGCACTGAGCGCTCATCTAAGCCTCCAGTTCTCTTGGAGATGGAGTTTCTTTAAGACCTATGAGACAGATTTCACAAGCTCGACCTCTGAACTAGACCTTGGCTTTCTCGGTGTGAAATACAGCGCTCCTAGTGAACTGGAATGCTCAGAATGCTTGGGATTGCCTATAAAATGTAGAGATTAAAAGGAGCATGCACTGGAAGTATAGCACATGATGACTTCAAATGAATATATACTTTTGTGCTGCAGTCAAAGCTTTAGGCATCTGCAGCAAGCAATAAAGTCAGCAGCCCGGAGTTCTGTTCATGTTTCAGTGTGAATTCTCTCTTGAGCCTTGAGGTTGAAAGGGTTCTATGAAACTTTGTGTAGATACAGTATTTTAAAACATTCTTTAGATATTGCCATGTTTTCTCCCAATGTGCAAAAATGGTGTAGCTTGTATCAGCAGGATAGTTGCCCACTTCTCAAATAGTTAGTGACCTCTGTGTTCCTTTCCATTACTTGACTCCTTAAAGACTTTCATTCTCAAATCACTGTTAGCACTGAAATCTCGCTGAAAGATGTTTCTTTCAGCGCTGCACTATTTATTTCATAAATACCGGCCTTATCTGTAACAGAGTAAGCGTTAAGTATAAAGAGCATGTTTTTTAACAAAAGAAGAAATGTATTGCAACATCACCTGTGTGCATATGTTCTGATCCAAGTGCACGCAAAAGCAATTACAACTAGATACATTATAAAACAGGACTTTACTTGTTCTGGTGCTGGTGTATTCTGGTACTTGGACTTTGTCCAAGTGCTCATGGGATTTGGGTCTTACTTTCTTTAGTAGATGTTAGGGTAACAAATATTTTGCTGAGGCAACTTGCATATTTAAACTAGATTTTTTTTTCTTTTTTTAATATCCACCTACAGTCTGCATTTTCCCCCTAAGCTTTCTCAAATTTTCACTAATTTTATACCACGACTGGATTTTTTCACAGATGCGTTAGTACTGCATAGAGCTGACTTGTATTGAGAGAGTTTGTGTTTCCCTGTGGAAAATGCAGACTTCTGGCAGCAAGCTTGAAATGAATATTTTCAAGTAGAGTAGGTGGAGTATGTTGCAATTCTGAAGGATAGAAGTTTCCACCTGCTGAATCTCCTTGCTGCCACGAGTAAGAGATCAAGAATTTAGGCAAATTGGAAGTGCAGTCTTAGATACTTTTAATTAAGGCTCATCACTGAGCAGATTGTGAAACTGTGAGAAAAGCTACACAAGTGGCCAAGTTAATTTGCTCTTGGGGAACAAAGCTTGAAACATTAATCCTTGGTTTAGAAAGTGCTCCCTAGTTACACGTGGTTCTTAGTAATATCAGAAAATACATCCTTAGTATTAATGTGATGGATTTCTAGTTGAGTAACCTGGTTCTCTGCTGCAGCTCCCTTTCTGTTAAGATCAGCTACTTGTTCTTACTGTCTAGAGATGCCCTGCTAAATGTGCAGCAAAAGTACAAATACCTACGTAGAGGCAGTGTTAAGTAGTGGAGTAGATAAACTTAAGGAAATAACATGGTGGGGAGTGGGAAGGGGTGATAATGACAATTTAAGGCCGTAGATACAAGATTAGGTGCAGCGTCAGTGGTAAGTGCTGTGCTTTCCAAGCAAGGTCAGAGATATTCCCGTCTTCCATCTGACTTCTGTTTCCCACCCTGAAGCAAGTGTTTTCATCTGTGCAGTCCCACCACTTTTCCAAAAATCAGTTGTTTTTTCCTCGTAGATTCCCGTGGCATCTGCAAGTTTAAACCTTCCAGGCTTGAAAAGCCAGTGCTTTTCTTTTAGGGCTTGTCAAATCCCGTCTTTGCCTCCACTGTGGGAAGCTTTCTCTAGCATTTCTAGTATCCTGTTAAGGTGCCCAAATTAAACTGTTCTGTTGATTCTGTGCTGCTAATTCAGCAGTGGTAGAGAGCTTATGCACAGCTGAGGGAAAAGAGCTTTTACCACTTGAAAGACATGCGGTCTTCAGGCATTACCAGAGAAATATGAACCCTCTGTTTTCATATCTACTGCTACAGGCATTATGGAACAGCTGTTTAATTCTATGTGTTTGCTCCCTGTCGGAAGGGCAGATGTCACATGGATGAAAAACAACTTCCTTGTTTTATATTTGGAAAGCTATCACTTACTCAAAATAAATCTGCCCCTCGTTGTTTTCAGGGTTTCTGTACTGATGCTTAGGATCCTTTTACACGTCTCTCACTGTGGGAGAGGAAAGTAGAGGTAGGATTCTGAAAAGCTGAAAATGAAACTTTTTTTTTTGTGAAGAGATGGCTGGTTGGATGGCAGTATTGATGGCAAGTGTATTTTTGAAGATATTCAGCATTGATGTTAGCCAAAATATCAAGTGTGCACAAATATATTAGTAGGTACAGAAGGGCTAAAATAAAGTGGGTTTTTTTTGTCTGATGTACCTTGTATAATTCATGCAACTCTTCAGGGAACATTCTAGTTATGAGAATGCATAAGGAGGAAAGTACAAAGAAGGAAATGTCACTGTTAGAAAAATGTGATTGCGGACAGTGAACTATTATAGGAAGTATGAAGACATTCATGTTACAAATTGAGCTTTTAGCATGTGATCACAAAGATATGAATTCTATGGTGCAAAAGGAAGCTAATTCTGAGCTGTTTTTACTTATTTTATGGGAACTGTGATGGTCTTCTGATTTGTGATATTTTTCCTCTCTCCTTCTCTTATGCATTGTCATCCTTTGTGTTGCTACATTTCTTCTTGTTTACAGGAGTTACCTCTGTGTGCTTGCCTGGAAATTATTTTCATTCTAACTGTATGGATTCTGGCCCTAGTTTTAATAGACTTTCACTCTGAAAACTGGTTTTATAAGATATGCTTTTTTTTTCTTAGTTTTCCAATCCAGTGCGTATGTATTTATGTCTTTGGAGTTAGAGCTGCTGACTTGAGAGTTGAAAGCAATTTTCTCTTGTTCTACAGTGGCAGTATGGAGGAAAAGGAGCAAAATGAGATTCTATTCTTTATTTTCTAAGTCTTCTGTTGATCCATTTCCTTAGAACCCCTTGAATATGTCGATTCCATTAGGACCAGACAAACGCTAAAGGACAGTTCAGGACTTAAAATATCCTGGAGACTGTTTCTGTAGGTGGGTTGCATGCAACTTCTTTTGGAGGTTAGAAGAGGTTCTGGTGTGAAATCAGGCTAGTTCTGAATATTGTGGTATTTGTGAGCATTTTTCACCACTTCAGCTTACTTGTATAAATGAAGCTGAAAAGTGTTAGGTCATAATGGAATTTTTTACCTACTAAAGCACTGGGACAAACACACACAAACACACTTTGAAGACCTCAAGAAGAGTTAATTGTGTGGTAAGTTTTCATTTTGCTCTAGAGAGTCCTAACAAATATTTCTGAAGTGCAGAGGACTTCCTGTTTCTCAGATGATCAGTCAAGGCTTGTAGTCTTACAACTTTCTTTTTCAAGCCATCATACTTGCTGTTTGATTGATTTTTTTTTTCCCGCTTAATTTTGAATGGCTACATAAGAAATAGTGTCATACACTTATAGTAGTTCCTAAATCACAGAGGCTACCTAGAAGCAGCATAACATAGGTAATAGTGCAGACTCACTGCAGACATTGAACTTTCTTTATAAACCATGTGTTGTATCTACATGATTCAAAATGCACTTGTCTTCCTCCAGGCCTTCTATCTCTGGGAATGTCTTGCAAATGAATTGTAAGGGAGATGATATGACTGACATGGTCTATGCAGTTTCTTTCTGTCTGATGTAGGCTTTGCATGCAGTACAGTTATAAATGATGTTGTGAAAATAACAATGATTTATCTTTTGTGTTTACCAGGCTCTTTAACCATGAGCAACCCGTTTGTAGGGATTGTGGAGCCACTGGACCCCAAACAGCCTCTGAAGAAGTTCTTCAATCTAAACAAACTGGGAGATGCAAGATATGGTATGTTTGCAACATGAGAAAGCAATGCACTGAAACAGGCACCTGCCTGGGCTTAGGGTTGTTGGTTATCATTGATGCTAAACAGCACTGGAAGAGACACTGTACTGATGAATGCTACTTGTAGTTCTTGAAAAAGAAGTTGTAGTAAAATTTAAGTGTAGAAATTTAGAGTGGATATTCTAAATGGGTACAGGGAAAACTAATGAAAGCATTAAATGAATACGGCATCTCACAGCTGCCTTTCTGCTGTGATAGGCAGGAAAGGACCTATCATTGACATAACTGACTTAATCCAGAAAGGCTGATCAGCTTTGAAAAGAAAAGTAAGAGGAGACTAGAAGAATCCTTTTCGGAGGAAGCTTTTTTTCTCAGAAACTTCCTGAGTATTCCCAGGCATCCTTTTTGTGACACTTGTAAAAATCTTGCATCTTTTTTTTTTTTTTTTTTTTTTTTTTTTTTTGTTGCCTCAAAGAGGAAGTGCTTGGTTAAGGGGAATACAGGAACCAAAGCAGCAAAAGGAGGAACACTTTCTCGGAATGTCAGCAGTGCATATCCATTGCAAACTCAGAGTATGTAGACCGGAAATCAATTAATGCCAGATATGGTCTCTGAAAAGCGAGGAGGAGTCTTCATAAACAGATATATGTGTGTTATTACCAGGTGATCTGTTCCAGAATCCCAAGAGTGATAAGCTCCACATCCTCTAGAGGAAAAGGGTAACAATTCTCACTCTCCAGCACAGAAATGCGATAACTCAGTGGCAGATAAAACGGTAAAAGTTGACATAGTATGTGTGTCCTGAAACAGGAGGTTTTCTCTCTATTCTTTTTAAAACAACATGTGTATTCAATGCTATGTGATGTATTTTCTACAGCACAGTGCAGTGCTCAATGGTGTGCTGTTTTTATGATCCTGCTAGTGAGCTCCTGCTATGATTCAGTGATCTCTGTGCCTTGGGTCCCTGAGTGGAAAGTTTTGGCAACCTTTTCACTACGTTTTTCATTTGAAATATTCTGAAAATAAGTCAAAACCTGCTAAACAAAGAGAGAAAGGAGAGAGCATCTTTTGTTTTCCTTCATGTACCTTTCTCCCGATAGAGATGTGTCAAGACTACTCTAGTGTTACTTTTTATCAAGTATAAATATATCTGTCTTGAAGTAGGAGGAGACTGAGATGCACACTCTTGATGCAGGTGGGTTTCATTCTCCATCCCAGGAAGAGATTGGCTGAACAAATAAATGCTTCCCAACATGCCAGGTAGAAAACTGTTTGTGCTTTCCTAGTGCATTTTTAGTGATGAGTACAGTGGCAAGAGTGAGGGTAAAATAAAATGAAGACAACATATTGGGAGTAGAATTCTGCACTTGTTGACATATGGGAATGCACTCTATGGTAAAAAACAGAATTTGCTTCTTGCCTCTTTCCCATGCAGCTCGTCTGCCGTTTTCTATTCGAGTTCTCTTGGAAGCGGCAATCCGTAACTGTGATGATTTTCTGGTGAAAAAGGAAGACGTTGAGAATATTCTCAACTGGAAAGTGGTGCAACACAAGAATGTTGAGGTGCCGTTTAAGCCTGCACGAGTTATTCTGCAAGACTTCACGTGAGTCTGATGCTCTCCAAAATTGAGAGGCAGGGGTTGCTGACGAGCAGGATTACACAGCCTGGGATGAGGAGGGGTGATGAATGTGCAGCAGTTCTCAGGTCTGGGTGGAAGTTGGGGGGAAGGAAGAACAAGGGAAGTCTTTGAGCAGGCTTTTTCATTCTCCCTGGATGTCATGTTGACAGCATGTGGAGAGGCAAAAGGTTATATAAAAGCACTAGATAAAGTGCTTCTGAGATGGAGAAATAAATATCTTTATGGAACTCTTCAAAAAAAAAAAAAAAAAGAGAAAATGAGATGAATCAGTTTGGATTCAACTGAGGAAATTCAATATTAAGAGGTTCTTTCCCACACCCCCGTTGGATTCCTAGATTCGCAGGCTCTTGCTTTCAACTTAGGCTTATTACTGTTCTCACTTACAGCTCTTAGGAATCAGTATCTTTCCGGATATTTTATTTCATACTTCTCTACTTCTATATAAAAAAAAGTGAATGCCTACTATTTTGCAGAAATACCAGTAGAGATCCCTACATAAAGGATTTTTTTAAATGATCTCCTTTATTGCAGTGCTGTAAATCTATAAGTGTCAGCATGTAATAGTCCCTGTTAGAAGAAAGTCAATTTTCAGGTAGAGCATTAACTCCTAACTGTTCTTAATATAGCATCTGACTTGCAAGTCCATTGTTCTTTGCACCTTAAGCCTATACAGCAAAAATTGAGATCTTCTTGTACTGCTAAACGATCAGTTGATTCTGTGTCTTAGAACATTTAACATTTAAACATTTAAAAGTTAATATTTTAAAATTTGAATCACAGACAAAGCCAACTTCAAACCAAATTTTCTTGCTTTTCTTGCTTCTCTCCTTTCTTGCCTCTAGACCACTGCTAAAAGTTTGCCTATAAACTTGCAGGTGAGCTGTATTTATGAAAAAAGCAAGTTCCTGCACACTCTCCTGAGCGGGAGCTTGTTGGAAAATGCAACTCTTGGCAACTTTCCAGAAGATTCGCAAAAATTACAAGACCAGGATTAGAACTAAGGATTTTCCTAGCTTTGACCATTCTGTGATTATCCTGAATTCTTCTAAGAATATAAATGGATTTTTCTCTATTTCTTTTCAATTGTATATAATTTGTAAGCCGGAAAAAGTAACTTTTTTCCCCCCTTTAAATCTACTATGTTAAAATAGCATCATAACATCTGCTGCTTTCACTGATATATGTATGTCCTGGAAAAGTGAAGTACTCCACTAAAGATTAGTTTATCAATCATTCTCATGTTTGTTTTAGTCATAGTTAGCTTCTTTTAAGTCAACATTGGATCATATGGACCTTTTGGGGCTGTTTTTGTAAACAATCAGAAATTCAGCCTAAAATTCTGGAATAATTGCAAAGCCTTTTCTTTTTTCTTTCCTGCATTGTTCTTGCTAGATTTTTACAAGCTTCGTTGCAGACAGGAGTTGAAAACAAACTCTTACTGGTTCGAGCTGCTCTTACAGAAACTTAGTGCTCTGGGATACAGGGTGATACGAAATCCTCACAAACACATCACATGGAAGCTCTTACCCTGAGCCAGTAAAATCAGGCATGTTGATGTGGTTTCTCAAATGTATTGAAATACCTTCTGCATGGGAGTAGTATTAGCTACCTCTTTAGAAACATCAGTATGTCCTGAGAAACACCAGAAGCCTTGTTAAAATGGATATTAAAAAAAATTCTTCCATTTAGGATGGGCATTGAAGTGCCAGAATTTCTGATTGCTATTCTATGCTTGATTTATGACCTGATATAAGTTGGCTGTGGGGAATAGAATCCCCACATTTCATGTGCCTTTATTTGCCCTCATGTAAAATTCACCCACCTCACTGAGGAAGGACAGCCTAAATTAAGGGTTTAGAAGTGTTTTGGGGTGAATGAGACATTCAAATTCAGAGATGAAGAGGCCTGTTAGCTTGTTTATGTGTCACTCCAACTTCAGGGATGTGCAGGGTTGTCACAAGAACACATTGAGAAGGTAAAAATAGGAATTTTAGCCAAAGACCTAAGAACATCTTGACTGTGTTGTGTGATTTGAGGTGTTTCATAAGAGGTATGTATGAGAACCTGTTGGTAAAAATAAGTTGAACACTTTCTTATTTCTGTCCTTTTATGTTCAACTGGACATCCGTTAGGGCAATTGAATCAATTTGTGTATGTATGGTTATCTTGCAGATTGGTTCTCTGTTCACATGTTTGGTATATTCACATCCTTGGTCTGATGACTTGCCCTGCCAGTTTCACTTCAAGCATGGAAGGTACCAAACAGCACTGATTAGGGAGAGGATTCTCCTATACTTCGAAAACCTAGAAAGAGTTGGTCCTTGTCTTAAAATCAGCCAACAAAATAAAACAAGAATGAAAATAAGTCTGTTTTACAGACTGGGAAGAGAAGAGCAAAAGAGAAGAAATCAGTTCAAGGTCCCACAGGAATGCTGACTATGTCTTAGTTTCCCGATTCCCAGTCAAGCATTTTAAACTGATTCTGTAACTTTTATTATTTTGTTCTGACAATGCTCTGGGTACAGATGCAGTTCAGTTCTTCCTATTCTTCTGACTTTGCCTTCCCAAGGGCTCTCTCTACAGTAGAATAAAATAGTGATCACCCGCCTGGGGATAAGGCTGCAACTTGTTCCGATTGTAAAAGAAGGTCTCTGCATCAGGATCTGGGTTGCGTTTGTTTTCTTGTATTTTTTTTTTTCCCAAACCTTTTCAGCTTACCCATATCTTTTCTATTTTAGTGGAGTACCAGCTGTGGTTGACTTTGCTGCAATGCGTGATGCTGTGAAGAAACTTGGTGGAGATCCTGAAAAAATCAACCCCATCTGTCCTGCTGATCTAGTAATAGATCACTCCATCCAGGTCGACTTTAACAGAGGGTAAGAATATAAAGTGACTGTTAACTCTTAACATTAGTTAGGAAGCTGGATCCAGTTGCTGGCAATGAAGATAGTAGTTCCATTTGTGATGTTCTTAAAAACCTTAGGAACTTCCATAATAAAACTACATTATTATGAGTTGCACAGAAATAGCTTTTTTCCACATGCCCTTTTTTTTTTTGACCCCGTGGAGTTTTCTGGAAAGGTCAGGTCATTTCTTCTTTATTTATTTAAGAAAAGACTGAGCAGCATTAGCCCAGCTGTGAGAATCTGTTTGCTGGTTTATTGCCTCCATAGAGAAATGGACACTGATTAGTATGGGTCCTTTTAAGTTTTGTAAAGAAACAGTGCTATTTCATCCTCAGCATGCACTCAGCAGGCCCACACTAGAATACCAGAGCCTCACATAAGGGTGAAACTACCCTGGCTAGTAGCTACATATGGGCCTACCAGGCTATTCTTCCAAACAAATTGTGCAATTTCTTTTTTCAGAACTTATATGTTTCTTGTATGAGAACTGTAGACTTATATGGGTACAAATTCTCACTGATGCCCATCACACTCAGTGGGAGAGATGGAGGGGCAAAATTTTGACTTATGTAGCCGTTGAAAATATACTCCCTTTAACTATTTTGTAGAAATGCAATAGCTATTCTTTAACACTGAGGAATTTAGAAGCAGACACAGTAATCAGGTAATGGCAGGGTAATGGTAGGGTAATGGCAATTCTAACATTAGTATTAAACTAGAGAACTAACTTTTATATTTTTAATTTGCATCTGCGTAGTTTTTTAAATCGTTAGGAAACAGTCTATTTCTTTATGAATAAGATATGATTAAGTCTTTAGGACAAAATTAACTATTTTGATTCTTTCTCTAAGTATTTTAATAACACTTATTTCATGCTATCCAAGTACTATCCAAGACTTTACTTTGTTTGTTTGTTTGTTAATAAGTGTTTTGCGTGTGTGTTTGTTTGTTTTTCTTTGTTTTTGTCTTAACCATGTTTTATTTTTATTAGGGTCATGTGCATATGGAGAGAACCTTGGCCGGCCTTGAACCTGAGGTTTTTTTTTTGTTAGTGCTCAGGCTTAAGTTGATTAAGTTGAAGGATAAGTAGCTGACACAAGTGAAATGTTTGTTAACTCTGTGATGAAACACAGGGACTTCAGACAACAGTGTGTAGTCACTGATCTGTGATAGTCCCTATTTAACCAAAGTTGCAGGGTGGTTAGATTCTGCTTCCCTTTATTGCTGTGCTAGTTCTTCTCATTTAGGTGCGGCAAACTTCTCACTGCTGTAACATATAGTCCAGCTTTTCCCAAACTACAGATTTCAGGTTCACTGCTCGTAAAGTTCAGATTAGTACTCAGGGTTGGATCAGACTGGAGGTATTATCCATAAGACTTCTGAAATCCTTTTCATCAGCTGCCTGTGGCGTTAGTAAAGCCAATAAGATTGATCATCATTATCTTTAACAACTACCGCTTCTTTTATTCCTTCAGTGTATTAGATTGTCTTCAGATTGCAGATGGAGACTTTTGGTTATGGCAGCTGATTATTTCCACTTGCAGGTCAGACAGCTTGCAGAAGAATCAGGACCTGGAATTTGAAAGAAACAAAGAAAGATTTGAGTTCTTAAAGGTATTGAGAGAATTAATCCTATTTGTGTTGACAAGTGTGAACAAATGTTCTTCCAGTACTTGTGTACATTGAAAACTTTTGTCTGTACTTCCTTCCATTTCAGTGGGGCTCCCAGGCTTTCCAAAACATGAGGATTATTCCACCAGGCTCTGGGATCATCCACCAAGTAAACTTGGAGTACTTAGCAAGAGTGGTATTTGATCAGGATGGTTACTATTATCCAGACAGCGTGGTAGGCACAGACTCGCACACCACCATGATAGATGGCTTGGGAGTGCTTGGCTGGGGTAAGTGCACTAGCTTATCATAAATAACCTGTGCGCTGATAAGAGGCTGTGTTTCAAATTTGCCCCTAATATAAGCAACTTACAGTTATTTAAGATTTTATGGTTTAGCTTCACATTCTGATAACATCCTCAGATTATAAAAAACACTTCTGGTGCTGTTTTTTTCATTTTTTAAAAATTATCTTCTGTTTTGCACTTAAATCACAAGGAAAAAGGGAAGGAAAGCTATTAAATTTTTGGAAGCCCTTTAGTCGTTTGGGAGGGCAAGGAAGTTGAAGCATCACCAAACAACCATTTGTTCCTAATACACTTAGCTTTTTTCAAAGTGCTACTTGTTATTAAGTACTGCAAAGGCACTGCTAGGTGGAAGATGCTTGGTGTAGGCTCTGTATGGGTTTATTATGGCCAGGGAGGAGATTGTGTAGAACAACAGTATGGAATATGGACTAATACTAATAGTCAATGGAATGGAATACAAGTGACTGAAATTAGTAGGGTTTTTTTTTTTTTTTTTAAATTGCAATGTTTGAAATGTTGACTAAATAAATAGATAATGAATTGGAAGCATCACACTCATCCTACACACAGCAGGGAAAACTTCAGGTGCACCTCTTGTCTTTCTATTGTGTGGTGATAGCAGCCCAATTGAAATATCTACTGTACAAATACAGAAGACTTTCAGTGACCTTAAAGCGATTATGTTAATCACTCACAAAGATGCTTATCAGGTTCTGAGTAGCACGGGTGATGCAAATAGGACATTGTTTGTGCTACCTTTTTATCATACTATTGTAGCAATACTGATAGAAACTTTCTATGAAAGCTAGAAGAATTTCTGCAGACTTAGTCATGCATATATACACTGGTTCATTTTTTGAAGACCTGAGATCTGTGAGACAGGAGTTGTCTCTCTTATTCCACGTTTGGTTGCCCTTGCACATGGGGCCCTCATATTTAGATACTACTGTAGTAAAAGATACTTGTGCTAGATCGGTTGCTAGTTAAGCTAAACAAAATGTGAAGGAAGTTTAAGAGGTGCAAGGTAAAGATGAGTGGGACTTTCTATGGGCTGTAAGTTGGAAAACAGCTATTTGAGCGTCATTTTGTTGGAAACACAATGCTTTTTTAGATTGAGTATGATTATGCCATCCTAATATTTTATGTTATTAAATTACTAAGGTGGGGTAAACACCTGAGTTGTATTGCTCTGACATTGAAGGTATGTTTACCTAGAGGTTCTTACCTGCACGTGGCAAAAAACTGTTGAAAGTTAATATACTTAAGGAAGATAGTTCTGTCTTAACAAGTAACTTTCCTGTTAGCATTCTTTAGAGCTATCCATAACTGTTTACTTACAGAATCTTTCATTTTTTTAAAATGACTTTGTAGTTTCTGTATTATAACCCATAATCATGTTCTGCATACATTTTATACACTGCTCCATGTCATGCTAGTGTTATTGTTCCTTGTTGATTATTTGCATGTTTATGACATTTTATAGATTTTTTACATCTATTATCGTAAAAGTCAAATTTCTTCAGAGTGGGTTACTAAGATTTACATAATATCCCATCAGTTGGTTGAGGAACAAGGATTGAAGTGTGAAACAGAAAGAAATGAAAAAGCCTGACATTGCTGAAGCAAGATGACAAATGCTTCTCAGCGCAGGACTCAGCCCTCTTATTGTCTGCCTTCTCTCCCCTTTCACAACTTAAATCATCTGCTCAGTAGTTGCATTTCATAGGTTTATTTTTGACACAACACTATCTTTTTAAATAGTGTGTTTGTGTAATGTTGTTGCATGCAGGTGTTGGTGGCATTGAAGCAGAAGCAGTGATGTTGGGCCAGCCGATCAGCATGGTGCTGCCTGAGGTGGTTGGCTATAAACTGCTGGGAAGCCCTCAGCCACTGGTAACATCCACAGACATAGTGCTCACCATTACCAAGGTAATTTGAGTTGGCTGTTAGATCATTAGTGCAGGAAGCTATGCATGTATAAGACAAAGACACTGTATTGCACACTTAAAAGCACCATCTCTTTTTCCATTTATTTTTTCTTACTTTTTTAAAAATATTTTTTTAAACTTTGTCACTCCATGTGAGTTGAATTAACTTTCCAAAGCTATCTGCAAAATTTCTATCCAAATCTGATTCTCAAAAGCAGATGAAATGAAAGATGAAATGAAACAGAGAGATGGGATTTCACGGGCTGTTCTAAACCTATGGACTGACCTGTTTGAGAAAAACAGTGCCTATAAAAGGTTGTTCTTGTTTCTCTACCATCTCAAAAGAAAAACGATTTGTAGTGTATTTATTCACTCTGTAACTTGTGACTGAATTGAGTGGTACTAGTCAGCATCTAATAATGAGCTGGAGCTCAGAAATTGGATATATGTGTTCATCATGGGACACTGGCTCTTTACAGAATCTGCAGAAGGAGAAAGCCAAACTTCTTGAATTCATCCAAAATCAAAATGCATCATCCTGGTTTACTGGCAGAAGACTGTACTCTTCTCCTGTCCTTAGCCTCACTGAGAAAAGTGCAGTTGTTCTAAGATAGAATCTAGTTTAAATGAGAAAAAGAGCAAGTTTAAAATGAATACATTACTATATTATATCTTATTATTATAGACTTACAGTTCTTTGTTTCAGCTGTGGAATTTCATGTGTACCACATCTTCCTGGTTTCAAATTACCTTAGATTACGCCTTTTTTTTTTTTTTTAATAATAGCACCTTCGTCAAGTTGGAGTTGTGGGTAAATTTGTGGAGTTTTTTGGTCCTGGTGTAGCCCAGCTGTCAATTGCTGACCGAGCCACCATTGCCAACATGTGTCCAGAATATGGAGCAACGGCTGCCTTCTTCCCAGTGGATGACATTAGCATTGGGTACCTAATGCAGACAGGTAAATGGGAGGGGAGATCATGACTTGAGGATGCAATTAAAGGCTGGGACCCCTGAGTCTACATGACATAGTTAACAACAGGGTTGAGCGCCTTCTGTGCTTCTGTACTTTTTATCTGTGATTGCCTGTTCAGGCTTTCTTGATTTCAGGGTTCCTGTTTAGGAAGAGACAAATTAAAGCTGTTTCCTGGCAAACATGGCTACTCTAGCCCTGCTTGCACCTGTTTTGTCCTGATTGCAAAAGTAAGAACCTAAGTTCTTCTTCTCCAAAAGTCACTAAAGCTGCTCCGTCACTCTGTTGTACTTTGCTGCTAATGAGTATCCAGAATTGAAAGGATCTTTTGGTGCAGTTCACAGTGTGAACAGTGTTAAATAGAGATGTGTGTTTTTTTCTTTCTCTCACTCAATTGTAGTTCCGTATTTTCCTTTGCCTTTTTCTTTTTTTTTTTTTTTTTCTGTGTCTGACCTTTAGGCCGTGATAAAGAGAAGATTACATGCACAAGAAAATATCTTGAGGCTGTGGGAATGCTGAGAGATTTTAAGAACTCTGCTCAGGATCCAGACTTCACACAGGTTAGAAATCATGTCCTCTTCAGGCTTCTTTGTGCCTTCCTATCCTTCCATATTACTGTTGTCTGTTATTCACATAAACCAGAAAATGGTTAAGGGGCTTTGTAACCTTCCACACATTTGCCTTCATCTGAGCTGTTTTGCTTAGACACTTGCTCAGTGGAACAAGTCAGCTAGTCTTCCAGGTGTGAAACTTGGGCATAGGGAAATTTTTTCTCAGCTCCAGGTAGTGCATATTTGTCCTGGTTCATGGAGGATCCATGTAGTTGGGAGCTCCGCTCCAATCACAAGCACAGCCTGTGAGTGTAGTGTGGATGTGGTCTCTGTAAGCTGTGCCTCGGCTGTGTCCTTCTTATGCTCAGCAAATTATTTCACTGCATATGTTTCACTGAGAAGCTGTGTGTGGTAATTGCAGACCACGCAAGCTGTTTTCTGACCAAGAAAATCAAGGTCACTGTGACCTGGAAACTCAAGAACTGTTTCATTTTTTTCAACCAGAAGAGTTTTATCTTGCAACTTATCGTAAGAGTTTCATGATTGTCTGAATACTTTATAAATATGGGAAGATGAAGCACACAGTCAAAAGGATGTTGAAACATGGGTGGGGAATAGGAAAATATGGTAATCTATAATGTTTTGTTATAGGCTCTGAATGTTTTTCCCAAAGCAAAAATAGTCTGGTCTAGTTTCTCTCTGTACCAGAGTTTCTTCATATCACTGTTTTCTGGAAAGTGTCTTGCTACTAGCATCTGAAAGGACATAATTCTCAAAACTATTTACATCTCTAGACGCTTCCTTCCCATATTCAGTAACCAGGGTAATTTCAAGAGCAATACCCAGGAATTAGCAGGGCCTGAATGTAGAACCATTCTTTCTCTTCTGATCTTGCTGTCCTCACATGTGTTCTCTGAAAACTTCTGCAGAGAAGCCTTGACTGAGCAGTGGGCGATTACACATACCTGTGTTTTGCTGACTTTATCTTGCCATGCTGTGCTGAAGCCTTTCTTGTTCCTCTTACTGAACAGGTGGTTGAGTTGGACCTCCATACTGTTGTGCCTTGTTGCAGTGGACCAAAAAGGCCTCAGGACAAAGTTGCAGTTTCAGATATGAAGAAGGACTTTGAGACTTGTCTGGGAGCCAAGGTAGGGACTAGGGACACTGGGTCCTATAAACCAATGCATGCTTCCAGAAGCTGTCTTGTCTCTATAAGCCTACATTCTGGAGTTCAGTAGCGTGCTGTTTGTTTATTCGTTGAAGAATCAGATGGGGTTGTTGGGCTGCTGTTTGAGTACAGTTTAGAAAATGGCATCAGAAACACGAGTAGTTTAAAATTAGGGTGGTGTGTTTTCACATGAAGGAGTGTTTGTCTGGCTGAAGTAGTAGTTCTTTCAGATTTAGACCAGTCCGAAGCTATCTGAGGCCTAGCAACATATGGTAGGGGTTTCTAAACTGATCAACTTGTGTATTGTTTATAGACTGGACGAAGTAGCTCCTGCACTGAACTCTGTGTTAACTACCCATTGCTTAACCAGACTTCCAAGTGCCCTATGCACTGGGCTGCACAATGTAGTTGTGCATTCAAGACAGATCGTTCAAAACTGCTTGCGTGTCTATTTAATGTTGCTCGTGAAGATGCCATAAAAGACATTCTAAGAATGAAGTATTTCTCTTTTACATCATGCCATGGAAAAATTGTAAGAGAGAAAAAAAAAAAAAAAAAAAAAAGATTTTAATTAGAATTAGAAAGTCTAGACCCAAATAATTATGTTTTCAAAATCAGATTGAATCTTTATTTAAAGTGGAAAACTGCCCTGTTAGAATGCAGCACATGTGAAAACTCCACTGACATGCAGCAAGAAAACTAAGCCACAGCAATTTCAAATTTTCTTAATTTGTTAGAGTTTGCAAACTCCATGAGTGTAGCTTACCCTTTCACATATACAAACTTAATATTTCATACTGGGAACAGTTCTTTCTTGATTTTTTTTTTGTTTGTTTGTTTGTTTTCTCCAGCTCTCAGTTTTTGCCTCTCAAGTCAGCTAATAGCATTGTTTTCAGCCGTTTAATATTCACTACTTGCATGCAAATCTCAAGTACTGTGGCTGAAATCTAGATTGTGCAGCTAAGATGTCGTCTTTCTGGGTAGGCTTTGCTGTCCAGTGCCTGGACAGTTATCTAGGGCAGATGGAGGAAAGCTGTGTCTGAGCGGGCAAGGAAGGATATGTTTGTGCAGGAAAAAATACACATACTGTAAAGCCTTCCCTGTTACTGATAAAGAATGGGAGGGACCCTATAGAAATAATTTTTTTCCATCACTTGGGCTGGCCAGGAGCGCAGCCCATATCAGTTCCCAATCAAAATATTTGTATTAACCACGCTCTTTTGATCCTTACAGCAAGGATTCAAGGGATTCCAGATTGCCCCTGACTTTCACAACAGCAAAGTCAAATTTACTTTTGAAGGCTGCGACTTTGAGCTTGTTCATGGTTCAGTAGTGATTGCTGCCATTACGAGCTGTACCAACACCAGTAACCCCTCAGTTATGCTGGGAGCAGGTGAGTTTGCTCACTTTAACGTGCAGACTATTCTCTGTGACTCTGGTTATGTATTATAAAGGCAAACAGAACACTGGTATAATTCTGAATGCACAGTACTGTTTTTGTCATTCTGATTTCATGTTAGAACTGACCTTAGTCCCTCAAGCCAACAAAAGGAATTCTGGAAATAGTATTTTGTTCAATACCTGGCAATGTGGACTGAAGAAAACATAGTTCTCCTGTCCTGTTTTCTCCACAGAATAAACTGTACCTGAAACAACCAGAGCCTCTAGCCCTTATTCAAATGCACAGGTCTTCTATGAGTGTAGCTGAGGGAGAGGCTGTTGAAAGTCAGAGGGATAGTGAAGAAGAGTAAACTGTGTTTTTACTTCCGTAAGTGCTTTAATCTGTCACCAGAGGACCAAAAGGCACTAAGAGGTCTACTGAGCTGTCAGAGGGGTCTGAACATGAGGGAAATTGTGTTCTGTGGCTTTGCTTATCTTTGACCCTTGTCATTTATAAATGCAATCCAAGAAGCGGTTGAACATGGATTTTTGTGACTCACCATTCAAATACCACATGACAGGGTTGTCTGAGTTGGTTGCAAGACATTTCTGGTCGTTAAAAGCAGATGATGGGCTGGAGTTGTTTCTTTTTATCCTGACCAGTCTGGGCTGAAAATTTCTTCTCTTATGATTCTCATGAAGAGAACTAGCATAAAGGGCTACATGTGCAGCATCCCAGTTTAGCTCCCTATCCTAATTGCTTGTAGCATGCTTACATGTATTTTTTTTCCCCTATCTTCCTCCTCAATTTTTTCTTGGATGTTACTTGTCACTGCATGATCACTAGTGCATTAGGCCTTCCTACAGGATGCAGATTTATCTTCCACAAATGTAGGAAGGGATGTGTGTCATAGGCAGGTCCTTTTCACATGGAAGTGTGACCTGGTTGAGGTCGCTTAATCTGGCCCTAGAGCTCCTGTACGGTAAAGGGAAAATCTTGTTTTGTGGACTTCCCCAGATACTAGTCGCCTTGAGTTTAGTTTGGCTACATTATATTTGTTACTTTTTCTTCAGTGAGAACCTTTGGTCACCCTTCAGTGCTGGCAGTTTACCTCCTTGACAGCACAAGATGTCTTCTCTTGCTGTCTTGCTTTCTTAGCTCTAGTTTGGTGTATCCCATAGATTTTCTACCTACTAAGGATATACTTGCCTCATGTGCTTGGCTGCCAGCCTGAGAGTAATTTTTAAACTCTCTCCTGTTGGGTGATGGGGATGCTGATGTTTTCGTCTGCTTAGGTTAATAGTTCTAAGAGTTTAATGTGCAGAGGACTCTGCAGATGCAAATGAAACTGCACAGCAGTCTGAAGAGTCTCTATCTGCAGATTAATGGGTGCTTCTGAACTGGCTGCCAAAGGAGGACAGGGAAAAAATTATTCCCTCAGCTAAAGGCAATCCCAAATACAAATGGTTGTTTGAAACAATGCAACCTGTGCACCAAATGATGGGTAACAGAACTGCACAAGAGCTGTTAAAAACAAAACTGGTTTTGGTGATACCTTCCTGTTGGAGATCACTTTCCATAGTGAAGTTGAGCTATATTTGCTTATCCAAGTGGAAATGTGAGAGAGAAAATGGGGCGTGGGAATAGGAAATACTGCGTAGTTAGCAAAGCTGCTGCATGTTTTGTGTTCATGCTGGCAAAGCCGTGGGGAGGATTTCATTTCTGAAGGAAGGCTACAACATTTATGTGCAATTCATTTAAAAAGAACAGGTTTGGGACAAATGTGTTTCTGGTAGCACATCCTTTCCATTAAATATCCCTATACAGGAGACACAAATCTAGGAGTGGTAATATAACGTTCTTGCAACAAGGCACAGATTGTGAGTTAGCTTGTTTGTGATAAGTGGCGAGAATCAATATTATCAAAATCATCTGCTTTGAGAACAGTAAGTTCAGCTTTGGGTTGCCAAACTCATAAGTAGAAAATTAACAATTCTTTGTTGCATTTTTCTGCAAGACGTTAGTCTATACAAGTAGCTTTTATTTAACCATTTACTGAATTTTGAATCTCTCTACATGCTGGTGAGGCATAGGTGTATCTTAACTAATGTCATTTTCTGTGACTTTCCAGTAGGGTGGAAATTGCACACTGAGCCTAAAGTTCAGCAGAGCCCTTGATCTCAAGTCAGTTTCTCTGGCTTCAAGTGGATTGGTGTGATTGTCTGTTTTTCCCTGCAGGAAATGGAGCCCGTTTTCATCACTGTTTTTTTATAGCACTCCTGTTGACGCGTTGTTCCACCAAATGGTCTTACCTCCATGAAGCACTTCAGCTTTCCTCTGCATTTTTCAGGATTGCTTGCTAGGAAGGCCGTTGAAGCTGGTCTGACAGTGAAGCCATACATTAAAACTAGCTTGTCTCCAGGAAGCGGAGTTGTCACTTACTATCTGAGGGAGAGTGGAGTTATGCATTACCTCTCTCAATTAGGGTAAGGGATCTTTTCTTACTGTTGGCTCAGGGCTGCTTAATTACAAACATTAACGACGAGTGTGGCAATAAAATAATTATTTCTCTATGCCGTTTAAAAGATGTAGCACGTAATCATATGGCGTAATCGTGCATGAGTTAACATAATGCTGTTGTGTTGCCTGACTTTGTGCCAACATACACAAGGAGTGTGTTGCTTGCTATAGTTTCTTGGAGACTTATGCTCTTAAGCAGGAAAACAGTTTATTTTTCAAGAGCAGTAGCTTTAAAATAATGACAGTATATTGTCTTTTGTGTTACTAGAGGACACATTTCCTAGGTCTTTTTTCTGTGCACATGGAAAGTCACTGGCATGATAAAAATTGATTATTGTTAAAAATGCTGTTTTCAGTACTATTTAATTTGTTAAAGCAATGTATCTTATCTTCTAAAATTAATTCTAACCAAGTGCTAAGGATTTAAACTTCATGCTTGAGAACAGTTTTGTTCACTGGTGCATATTTTTTTCTGCTCTGTCTAGGTTTGATGTGGTGGGCTACGGGTGCATGACCTGTATCGGCAATAGTGGGCCCCTACCAGAGTCTGTTGTTGAGGCCATCACGAAGGTATGTATCAAGCAGCCTTTCCCCTGCAGTTTATTTAGGAAAGCTGTTCTGTCTCGTGCTGTCCTGAGGTGTGTTACAATGAATTATCTGTTCTCATTGTTTGGAAAGTAAATTCAACCTATCTTTGATTTTCTGTGTGATATGTTTTGGGGTCATTTGGAAGGAAACAGTTCTGTGACTGTCCAGTCATTTATGTTGCAGCGTGAGACAACTATGTGGGCATAATGGCTGCAGGAAGCCTGCAAACACTACAGAATCTTTTGTCTCAAATCCTCTCTCCTAGGGCGACCTTGTTGCTGTGGGTGTTTTGTCTGGAAACAGGAATTTTGAAGGGCGTGTTCATCCCAATACCCGTGCTAACTACCTGGCATCCCCACCGCTGGTCATAGCCTATGCAATTGCAGGGACCGTCCGGATCGACTTTGAGAAAGAGCCTCTGGGTAAGACGTTTTGGGGACAGCCGAAACTGGTTGGAATTAATCCCCTCAGAAGCACTGGTCCTAGGGAGAGGCTTCAAATGGATGAGTACATCTAGATACAGAGAATGATACTGTTAACTAACAGAACAACAGCAGAGTCTGTATGATGAAGGAAAGGAAAAGCCACATTTGACAGATACTCCGATTCTGCAGGATCATCTTACTGCAATCCAGACATAGAGAGTATCTCATAAGCAGCTTGAATAATGTGGCTGTCTTTGAGCAGGGAGTTGGATTAAACACGCTCGAAGAACTTTTCCAGACTGAGTCATTCTCTGTAATGGAAATTATAAAAGAACGCACATGTATAGGGGTCAAGTCCATGAGGCTCCCTCTGTCAGACCCTTGTAAGTGAAATAAAGTGCATCTTACAAGCTCTGGTCAGACTAGGAGGCTCACACTTCTGAAGTATACTGCCTATGTACACCCCTTCTTCCCTACCCACCCTGGAATGTTTGTACAAGAAACATAACAGTGCCATTTCCTACAGGAATAAATGCATCGGGGAAAAAGATCTTCCTTAAAGACATCTGGCCAACCCGAAGCGAGATACAGGCTGTTGAGCATCAGTTTGTTATTCCTGGGATGTTCAAGGAAGTCTACCAAAAAATAGAGGTGAATTAATCCTCAGTACAATAGTTGAGTTGAAGTCGTGCTGTGCTACTCTAAAAGTGTAAAATAAGGTGATCTTGATAATGAAATGGACCCTTTCATAAGTTTTGCTTTGCTGTGGCATTTAAGAGAGTTCTTCAAGAGATGCTTTTATAAATGACTTGTTTTTAATTAATTGATTCTCATAGTAGATTTCATTCTGAAAAGTGTTCTTGATTATTTCCTTAATGTAAGGAATACATGGATTCTTTGTTTTTTCCTCGATGGCATAAATTTTACTTTCACTACTTTAAGCATTAACATAAAAAAGAGGAAGACTTGTGTTTGATAATGGCTTGTTCCTCAGTAGTGAAATGAAATGTGTTTGAGGTTTACATGAAGCTTCTTAAGATTACTGATAAAAGCATTGGAGAGTTGCAAAGTATTATCTATGTGCATGATACAGATAATAGAAAGTGGATGAGAAACTATTTTTAGTAATGAAGTAATGGTGTTTGTTTAGTTCCTCACTCTTGCTTTTAAAAGGTAGAGTTATATAAAAACACCTTGTATGTTGTCATAAGAAAGTCTTAAAAACCTTATGCCTTAAAAACGGATTTAACTGAAGTCAGATTTGTAATTTTACAAAGCTATAGGATGTTTTTGTATGTTTTTCAGACAGTAAATAAATCTTGGAATGCCTTAGATGCTCCTTCAGACAAACTGTATACTTGGAATCCCAAGTCAACATACATCAAGTCTCCACCTTTCTTTGATGGTCTGGTAGGTGCATGCTTTTCACTCAGAGGCAGGCTAAGCTGCGTAATAGGACCTTGATCCATATTGAAATGATGTAAAGCCACTCAGAAGGACCTGAGAGCACCCAGCATGGAGATTATCCTAGGCTATACAGGCCTTGGTTCTCAAATGTTACGTCACACCCACTGTATGTACTGTAATACTGCATAAGGAATCTGAAAATACTGAGGATTTTCTCTTACTTATTTTCTATTTCTAGTACTTAAAATTCTCTTTTCCTTTATAAGGTAGAATACTTTTAGATAGTGAGAAAGCGAGTAAGGGAAAAAGCAAAAGAAATGTAAGCCTCAGGTCTGCCTACATTATTTCTTTAGCAATTCAGATTGCTATTTCAGCAAATAAAATGCAGATTTTGATTCATGCATATGCCTATTCTTGCCTATGCATATGCAAGTCCTATTCCGGACTTTCTGCCTTTTCATCCACATATCATGGAAAACCTTGGCTAACTTTTTTTTTAATCTCTTTTATATATGCATGCACATCCTGGATGACAGAGTTTGTTTAGTATTTAATTTTTAAGAGGGTTAATTTTCTTAAAACTTTCTACTAACTTGCAAAAGAATGGAGGCTTTATTTTGCTACATACTGATGTGTGTCTTACACTTTCAATTAAGGAAAAGGAACTCTGTGTCACATTTTAAATATAGCAAGGAATAGTCCTGCAGCCCGTTATTTGACCAGCAGAGGGTAGGCGCCTTTTTCTTTCCTTTTTTTAGTTCTCCTCTTCTTACAAATTTGGAAGAGAAATTAAGCCCCGAGCATGTTATTAGCTTACAGATCTACTGTGCTCACATATGCTTGTGTATCTTGGATCATCCCTGGAGAACACCCAAAAAAAGAAAAATATTTCTAATACTTCTCTTTCATCAGCTTTCATTGATTCTGATAATTTCCAAAGAGTGTGCAGGTCTATTATACCTGTCTCCCTGTTGTTATGTTATATTATTTCCCCCTGTTGAAGTAAAAAATGAAATTATCATCGTACTTAATGCAACAACAAAAAAGAGTTTTTATACTGACTTCTTGCACATGAAACCATTTCAGTGATCTAGGTCAGGATGAGCTAAACAACTGTTAAACAACTGCTGATTATGAAATTCTTGCTAAGGACAATCTGTCAGGTTAACAACACTAGGTAGACTTAAGGCAAGATGCAGATTTGCTGTGTCTCCCTACTCTGTCTTTAGATGTAACATGACAACGCAGTCTCTGGTTTAGCGCTTTTTGCAGTTTCACTGATGTTTTGAAATACAGTACAGCTATTTGAAAAATAAAATGGTCCTGGAGATAATTCTGGAGATTAAATTGACTCAAAGAGCGTAATCATCTGACTGCTAGCTGCTTACATCTGTTTGATCAACTCTTGTCAGATCCTTTGAAATCTAAATAATCCCACATGTTACAAAACAAATGTTTTATGTCAGAATTGCCCTCTGGATATAGCCCAGTGCAAACAGTTCTCTGACACATTCTTCTACTTTTTATCTGTAGATTACGAACCTAGAGTATCCACTCGTTCTTCTATCTCTAGACCCAAATTAACTTTTTTTTTTTTAATTGTAACTTGCATCAGGGCCTCCCTTTTTGCCTTTTAGATGTTTAGGATGATGGTATCTCCATTTGTTCTAGATGCTGTGATAATATAAATAATTAGGAGAATATTCACTTGCCTGTAAGGATTTATTTTGCTTCTTCCAACGTAACATGGCTTTTTGCTTTTCCTTTACACAACACATTCTTGCATCACTGTCCGATTCTGTCAGACTGGGCAAATGTTGAGAATATTTTGGCAGTTGCTTTCTGTGTTTCAGGCTTCAATAGGCACCTGCTCCCCACTCCCCCACACACTTTCTCTTTATTTTAAAAATGTAAGAAAAGAAGTTGAATAGTAGAAGATTTGGATACCTGTGTGTTACTGACATTAGTTGTCACAATGGGAGCCATGTGCTTGGCTGCCAAGTATTTTAGAAACAAGTTAAAAGCACAGCTGGCTGTTGCATCAGAGGCACCAGCTCTTTGATTTTATATATTTATTTTTGCAGCATTTCAGTCTAAAATACCAACAGTGACCTTTTATTCTTTTTTATTTTCCCTTAAAAGCTTGACTCCTCGAGAATTCAATTCCTATGGCTCCCGCAGAGGGAATGATGCTGTCATGGCCAGAGGAACATTTGCAAACATTCGCTTGGTGAACAAGTTTATTGATAAGCAGGGACCCCAGACTGTCCATTTCCCTTCTGGGGAAACTGTAAGTACAGATGCTGCTCTGAACTTGGGCTCACTGACAATGGATTAGCCCTGGCTGTCTCTCTTACAGCTTAGGTTGTTACTCAAGTCCCTTTTAAGTAAAGCTGATAAAGTGACAGGAACTCTGCTGAATTAAAGCTGTAGGTCATACCTACCTGTGTAATGTGGTGCTATCACACATGTCTCTAGAGAGTGTAATTGTTGTAGAAGTGATAGTTAGAAGTGTAGATTTGCTTAGGAAATGAGGCCAAGCTAGAAATCAGTGTCATATGATGAATACCTTCAAAATTCATCTTGAAGCAAGTGTGGGCTTCAGCTCTTTGTGGGAGGACACTTTCTCCTTGTCCTCGGAAATGTATTTCCGTACCCTCAAAATACATAAAGCATTTGGCATTTTCGTTCCAGCTTGATGTGTTTGATGCTGCAGAAAGATACAAGCAGGGTGGCCATCCTCTGATCGTGCTGGCTGGGAAGGAGTACGGTGCAGGAAGTTCCAGAGACTGGGCTGCCAAAGGACCATTCCTTTTGGTGGGTGACCATGTTAAACAACAAAGAGGGCAATATTTAACAGAACGTGTTCATTTGCCAGGTAGGGTGACATAGCTGAGTTTCATTCCTGTCAGAGTTATGTTTTAAAGATACAATAGCAAGACTGGGACCTTCCTTGCACATAATCAAATAGGAGGTTATGGGCAGGCTGTGCTTAGCAGCTCACTGGGAGAATTGTTAGCAGAGGAAGAGATGTGAGATCTGTGAACGAGGGGATCTCTGAATAAACGGTGGATGTCCATGCAAAGCAGAACTCCTTGACAGCAGGATCTATTTTGAAATAACATCTGGGTCTAAAAGCTCCAGGAGAATTGCAAAAGCTATTTAAATATTAACAGATCCTGTTTAGGCAGGAAACTGTCTCCAGCTAACAATCAACAAGACTTCACCAGAAAGGACAGGCCTTTTAATACTTTTGCCTCTCACAATGCAGTGAACTTTGGTTGGACCTTCAGCTGCTGCCTTAAACTCACTTACTAATGAAACTATAAAGAGTACATGAAGAATAATATCAGTGGATATGAAATTTAGCAGTTTTCACCATGATCTACAGTTTTAAAGGATTCTTACCAGTATTGTGAGAGAATCCTAATGGAAATTCAGCTTCAGTTGGAAATCTGTTTGTTCTTCATTCTGTCCTACACTACTTACCTGCCTTTTAGAGCTCTGATTCACACTTTTTCAATGTGGAAATTTTAATGCAGTAGTTTATTTTTAAGCAAACTTTTAGATTTATGCTTCTCTAAATTCTTTTTTTTTATGTTGATTTTTTAAAACTGAATTAACATGTAAACATCACTTAACTATACTAGGGTACATAGTATAGGCAACAGTGAAGGCAGTACCAACTCCATCAAGGAGGTGGCAGCAAGAGTTGCAGAAGTGACAAATGGTTTTTTACTTAAGACTCACTAAAGGATGATGGATTGCAGAGAAAACACATGAAATCTTTTGACAATTAGGCTTCCTTAAATGTGTTTGAAAGATGACACAATCAGGTTATCCTGGACAGTCTGCTGTCCCTCCAGGATAGGGGGAGAGGACCGTGGAAATTCAGATTTTTTCCCTTCTCTGATCACAGAAAGACTATCCTGAACCATGCAGCCAGTGGTTTCTGTTGTGTATTTCACAGGGAGTGAAGGCAGTGCTTGCTGAAAGCTACGAGAGGATTCATCGCAGTAACCTGGTGGGCATGGGAGTGATTCCTCTGCAGTATTTACCTGGCGAGGACGCAGGGACCCTAGGCCTCACTGGGCGTGAACGCTACACAATTATCATTCCTGAGAAACTCAAACCACAGATGAACGTCCAGATCAAGGTAAGTGGGACACCGAGGGGCGGGATTTACTGAATCTCTATTCCAAATAACTGTTTCTTCAAAGAATATGTTTTAGGAATGTATCCTGAACTGTTTGCGGGAAGCTTCTCTCACGTGAGATGAAGAAAAAGGTTTGAGATGAGGAGAAGCTTAGTCATTTTAATAGGATTCTCTTACAGTGGGATAAAAGCATCATACCCAAAATTCAGCAGAAAAGGCTTCTGTATTTTTGATCAGTGCTTCTGTATCCAGTGCACATTTTTCTGGATCCATTATTTCTTTCTATAGCACAGTTGCAACTAAACTGGAGACATTAAATAAATTCACTGTGTCTTAATCCTGACAAACTGACAGAAAATAACACATTCCACTGTGTGAACTAATGTCAAACCCCTTTTTTGAAAACTATCAGCATGTACAATGGAACTGATTTATTTTTGATTATAGCTCCCATAAAACTGGCTTATTTAGCGGCCTTCAAGTCAGCCTTTCTACTGCATTTAGCAAAACAGTGCGGTCCTTACTGTGCATTTATTCAGTGCAGGTGGTCTGCTTAGGGAAGTTTTGAAAAACAGGAATTTATGTTATGCCTTGGAGTGGGGCAAGTAGAGATCCAATGAGTTCTTCAGCATATTGGGCACAAATAGACATTGTGCACTCATCTACAAATACGTGACTATGGCAATTTTTTTAGCAAAATAGTGATTTACTACTTATTTACTTCACACATTTGTCTTTGTTTTTCTTAATTCCAAACGCTAACCTCTAAAGAGAGGTAATAAAGTGAATATTGGTGTTGTCATAAAGCCAGAAAAATGGCTTTGTAGAAGAAAGCAAAGAATTAGAATAATCACTTAAAAGTGCAGTAAGCTTTTGTGCTTAGAGCAACAATAATTCTAGTAGGAGCAGCAGGTAGAATGCAAGGATGTTCCATACCGTGCTTGGTATATTCTATTTCAGGCCACCTTCTTCTGAATCAACTAGCAGTGATCTCACATGGCATACTATAGTAGCGAAACCCTGCTGTTCACTTAAGCAGTTTTCTCTTTTAATCTTCCTTAACATTGCAAAATGTCGTAATAATCCCTATTTTATTTCTGTGTCCTATAACATGTGGAAGGTTCTGCTGCTTAAATTACTTCTTTATCTCCAACAGCTGGATACTGGAAAGACCTTCCATGCCATCATGAGGTTTGACACGGATGTGGAGCTCACTTACTTCCACAATGGGGGCATTCTGAACTACATGATCCGTAAAATGGCATCCTAATCCAAACAGCATTGAGCAGAAACGTCCAGGTACAAGCCTGCTTCTAGTCAGGGCAGGGAAATGATATGGTAACCATAAATATAACAGCCTGAACCATAAAGTGAACGACATTTTGGGGATTGTGTTATCAGCTGTGTTTACAATGTTGAATGGTCCTGTCTGTCAGGAAACAGGGCACTTGCCCCATTAAAGAAAACAGTTCTTTATTACTCTGTTCATATGGTGTTTGGATTGACTTACTCTAGGATGACAATGCAAAAGTCATGCAGTGGGAAGTATTAAAAAAGTAACTGTTGGAATCTGTGGAACTGTTGAAGATCATGTGCTGATTTATATTTTTTGTCCATTTACTTTGATTCAAGTTCATTTCTATGCTCATATCAGTGGTCCAAAAATTAACTGACAATATAAAATTAATCTTTTTGCTTTTCTGATTACCAGGCATTGAGTCGCCTTTAACTACAATTGACCAGAATCTGAGTCTAATACTGAAATTATTTAGCCACTTATTAATTAAAAAAATGTGAACTCTGTTCCTTAAGCTCTACCTTTGTGGGAGAGTGGTCCATTGGGGATAGTATTTCTAACTGATAAAATTAAATTTATTTTCAAAAAATGTTGGTGTGTTTTTGTTTATATTATTTTGAATGCTGAGACACAGAGCACAGCTTATACTTCCAACTCTTTACCTTCTTAGGAACATGATCTTACATGTTCTTCTTACCTTTTCTTACTTCTTACATTTTAATTAACTCATTTGACTAATCTACTTGATAAGGGGTGGATACGAATGCCAGCAGGCTGCTGTACCCCACCAGGTACTGCTGACTCTTCTTGATGACACAAGGCAGAGAAAAGAAGGTCTGCCACAATTTCAAGATTCTTGTCAGCATTTTTATGGGAGGTCACAACCAGCACTTAAACTATTGCCTTTGTTGAAGTCAGTGACTGCCTAATCTGTAGCACAAAATGAATCTACTAACAAATATTGGTAACAAAAACATCTTCTTACTTTGAGGTGAACAATGCTATAAAAGTAATTATTTCAAGTGTAGGTAGAGCATGTGCCAAAACAATTAATAATTTAAGTTGATAAATATCCTTCCAGATTATCTTCCTCTTTTGTCTTCAGTGCTTGTTGGCTGAATGTGGGAAAAAGCGATGACTTTATTTCTGAAAAAAGTCAAAAAGCTTAAGGGGGGCAGAGACTGCACTGTAGCTGCTGCAGACTAACAAGCTTCATTACGACAAGCAGTGAGGAGCTTGGTGTTGTAAATAAGATTATAATCTTGAATATTATTTGACAATAAATATACAGATTCGGGTTTGGTTGCAAAAAATAATCAGGTACTTGCAAAGGCCAAGTGAAGTGATGAAATTGTTCCCCTCCAGCCCTCACAGGGAATGAAGGTAGACTTGCAGTATGGGAACTTGGATTTCCTATTAATGTGTTACTTTATCAGCCTGAAGGCATCCAGGTGAACTACAATGTTGTTTTAGTCTAGAGTCCTTGCTTTCCAACAGTGGAAAAGGTTTAAACTTCTCAAATGTGCTAACTTCCCAGCAATCATTAATATGAGCTGTGGTATCAGCACTGATTAGCTTTTATTGCAAGAGTCCAAAAGTTGATGGCCCTCTCACACAGCAAACTGATATGAGCCCTAACATACAGAAAAGACTACGATTTCCATATGTGTATGGTATTTGAAGTTACTAAACCAGCTTTTTTTTTGAAATCTTTGTTCCTAACATTTTTTTTAGAGGTGAGGAAGAGGCATTGCCCAACCATAAATCATCTATATCCTGTTTTTATTATTATTTTATTTTTGAAAGCAGCTATGAGTAAGCAGGAATCAAGCATAGAATAAGTCACTTTAGGACTGAGAAGTGGGTTTTCTGTGTAGTTCATAGATCTTTTGCAGGAAAAGGTATCTTGCATTGAGACACGTCAGGCTACATATGTGCTCTCAGATGGCAAATTGCCTTTCAGCTTGGTTCCAGAAACACTGAAGACTGAGTTCTTTGAAGATAAACATAGCAAGCCTCATGTTTTGTAATTGTATCTGTAGCAATGTCAGTCTGGGCTCTTTGTGGGGAAAAGATAAAAGCAAGCTAATGCCTCGGCTCAGTTCCAGTTCCATATCTTCTCTGGCTGGGAGCCCATCAGATCCATGTGAACACCTTGGGAAATTTCAAGTACCATCAGCGAATGACACACAATGTAAGGGCAACTGCTGATCACCATTTAACTGGACTTTCATCTATCTTACAGGACTTGTGAAGTTAAGCAACACATAGAAACACATAGAAATCCTGCAGCTTTAGCAGTAGTAAATTGATAAGCACAGGGATAAAAAAATATATATATCAACAGTTCTGCATTTTTAATCCCGAAGAAACCAGCACCAAGTAGAATATGCAAAACCCTTCTTTTGCTTTTCCGGAGTGTTGCAGCAGAATTCCCTGTTAAACGTGGACTTCAAAGATGAAATCTCTTCCTTGCAGAAAAGGAATTGGACATTCCCTCTCATTATTCTAGAACACTGAAGGCATTTTAAAAATATTTTTAGAGGTAGCTAAAATACATAATCTGTGTTATTTACATAGAGGTAAAATATGAATATTAGATACATATGTATAAACATATATATATACAGTTTATAACATATATAATCAAAGGTTAAAAAAATTAATTGCTTAATTTGAAAGCATCTATAGAACTTTTGCTTTGAAGGAGCTTGTGCACGGTCTGAAAACTGGTTCCTCCAGGAAAGGCAGTTTATGGGCTGTAATACAAGGCTATTTGCGCAGCACAGATTTGAAGCCCTTCTTAAAGAGTTTTCTGAAATCTCAGGCTTTTTGCCCAGGGACACTTGGTAACCCAGCACCAGAGAAGAGACTGCGATGATCAGTGTTGCACATCAGTGTTCACTGTTACTGGTCAAGGAAACGTACTTTGATTTTCAGAGGCTGGACTATCACAAACTCCTCATCCAGGAATTTTCCCTCTGCAGAGGAGTAGCTGAACTCAATGAAGATTAGAAAAATGGTAGGAAAAAGTTTTGCACAATTAATAAGGTTAAGTGCAGTAACCCCCAGCTGTGGCCTTAAGCCCCTCCTCACATCACCTAGTGTTTGTTAGCTGCTCTCTATATTGTACTTTGTACTGGTGATATGCACTGGACAAAAATAATGGGGAAAAATCAGACTTACACACCAGAGGCTTATGCTGATAGGGAAAGTAAATACTAGTTACACTGAGAGGTCATGCACTGGTTTTCCACAACATATATTCATGCCTAGAAGTAGGGAGTTCAGAAGAACTGACCTGGTTGTGTAACATTGCATATTTGCACATCTGGTACTAACCAGCTACCAGCATAACTTGCTGCAGAAGTTGTTAGCATTGGTGCTGTGGTTTACTGATTTACTCCAGGTTTTCACCAGGCTTGCTCATCTGCCAAACATTGCTCAGAGTGAGGATGAACATTATTGCAGGCCAAACAGGTCACCAGCAAGGGCATAAACAAGCCCAAATGTCACCCTACTAATGCCCCTGGCAGTTCTGCAAAGGCCTCTTGAAATCTCTCAGAAAACACTGCTCTGAAATCAATAACCTCTTGGCATGACATCAGATAACTTGGGAGAGCGCTGGCGCTGGCCTGCAGAAAAGCCAAAGCGTTTTGAACATGAGCATGAACAGCCATAACACAATCATCACCTTCATCCCAGCTGCCCACGCTCAGCTCCAAGCAGATCTGCTGTATTTTCCTTCCAGTGAACAAGATAGCATTAATTTTATTTTTCAGATGAGTATTTTATATAATTGCGCTTTAACTCCCAAGTTTTTTTGCAGTTACAGCAACATGGCAACAAGGTGACATGCAGCAAGCTAGCAGCACAGTCCCTGCCTTCCTGCTGGTCTTAGTCTGAACCCACACAGGAAAAACACATTTTCCCCAGAGTATCACTTGGTCTAGATAAAGCCCCAGAGATGGATTATCCCTGGAGATCTGAGTGTGAAAATTCAATATAACCACAGCCCTTTCTTACACATGTTGCCTCATCTCGTTTCTGGAGCTTTTCAATAGCTTCATTCACCGTTTCTTCCTTGAAACGGTTGCATTTCTCGTGCTCAATTACTCCTCTCTTCCTCTTCACAGGGAAACACTGTTGTCTCTTGCCCCTCCATGGCCTGCAGAGCAGTACATTTATCTTCAGCTGCGCCAACATGATGTGCAAAAGATGTGAAAAAGGGGCAGCAATGCCACAGAAAGAGCATTTAGAGCTTTCTGAGTGGGTTTATTTTCCACATCCATCTTCAATTTAGGATAATGCTGCTTCCCAAACACATTCCCTTATCCCACGTTTCCTTGATCACAAACTGGGACAAGATACCCCAGGTATCCACATTCATATGTTCTTGCTCCTATAACATCCCTCAGCGAAGCTCGGGAATTTGCATGGCATCTTCCTGACTTCTTGGAGAAGTCAAAGCTCAATGAAAAAATATTTTTTTGCTAGTTTTCTGCCCTGCTTTTTGGTGTCCATCAAAATAATTTTATCACACACAAAAGAAAAACCCCACGAGGAACAGGAAAACGCAGCACAAACAAGCAAGGAGAGAAGTAGAGGAAATGCCATCTCTTCTATCCACGCCTCCTGCCTGCCTGCTTTTCACTGCTGGAACACAAGCAAGTTCAACAAATATTCACATTTACTGTGGAGCTCCCACTCCCCTCATATCCACTGTAATCCACTTTAAGTGGATTAAAATAAAATAATAATTTCTTTGCAAGTTTAATGGCCTGCTAGGAGGCAGCACTTCCCTCTCACCTTTAGACATGTGAATTCTGGAACAATTATTTCATTGTAAGACAAAAATCAGAAATTGAAGTCAAGACACAGTTCTAAAAGTTAGAGACTTGGGTACAAAGGAAATCGTTTCCTGCCAAGTTATCAAGTCAGTTGTTCCGATGGCGGACTGAAGTATTTCGGGTGCACGCTTTGGTA